TTTCCCTCCCAGATAGCCACGGCTTCTGGCTGCCGTCCCACTCCTCCAGGCCCGACAGACGGTTCTTCTTGTATGTGGCCAGCTGCTGGTATGCCACAAACTCATTCAGGAAGATCTTGATCCCCAAGAGCTCGGCCACCAGCGGCGAATCTGCCCAGTCTGCCCCCATGAGAAAGGCCACGGGCATGAGGACATAGGAGCAGATCACCTGGGAAAAGCATCCCAGAAGGGAGCAACTCAGAGCTGACCATCTGCATAGCCCCTGCCTTAAGCACCCGCTGCCAGTATTTGCCAAACACCCAGCAAGGGTCTCGGCAGCCTACCAAGGCAGCGGGCAGAGGTGGGGATGGGGATCTGGCAGCCCAGCCCTTGGGGATACCTGGAAGGAGAGCCCCTCGATGTCCACCATCTCCCCCAACCAGCGCAAAGCAGCATTGATGAACTCCAGCACCGCCAAGAAGGCGATAAGGTTGGCCGCAATGTTGGCCACGAGCCCCACGGAGGCGGCAGCCCCATTGCTCGCAGCTTCCAGGATGTTCTGCTCCTCCCTGCACGGAAAAAGATCCCGATCGGCTTACGCGGCCAGGCATCCTGTGTTCAAGGTCAGCTCTCGCTCCGTGGATGTCTGCACACCGCAGGCTCTCCCACCCTTGGGGCACTCGCAATGTCCACTTGTGCCCCTAAATTGCCCCTGCGGCTTCCCTGCACTGGCAGGACGCGTGCAGCCCCGCTCTGCCATCCCTCTCGCCACACTCACCCGCTGGACAGGCGGACGCTTGCTTTGCCCTTGAATTTGGACTCTTCCACTTCGGGGTAGACGAGTTTGGACATGGCGAGGGCGCAGGGCGCAGCCATCACGGAGGCTGCGATCAGTGACGCGGCGTCTATCTGCAACGTGCAGACCATGGGCTTAGGCACCTCTGTGCAAGGCTGCGCCCCGTGATGTGACACCCCAGGGCACCCCAGCACATGGCTGGCAGCAGCCAGTGACGCTCGGAGCACCACAGGGCTCTCTGTTTGCTTGGGGTGGGAAAAATGTCTCTGCTTTTCCCATCTTGGCTCGCCACAGCACGGAGGGCAGCTTGCCCGGATGGAGACATTGCTGGAGCCACAGTGATCACGGCCTCAGAGATGTTAATTGCTCCTGCTGTTTGACCTGATCTTGATTCTTCTCCCTTCCTTGTCCCTTTTTATCAGTATCAGAGCGAAAGGTTGTGCAACATGGCGAACTTCTACCCGC